TTGTTGCATTTTGTAGACAATAATCAGAGAAACTGCATAAATCCACCACATATGCATTCAATAACATACAGAAGAGAGTAGAGAAGTAGAGAATACATTTCTCAATTAATTCTCCTGGAAAAAGGACAACAGTAGTGAAAAAAGAGAGTCAGAAGTGTCGCTGATAATCTAATTTTCAAAGAAATTGATGTAAAAATATTTTTGAAGGAGACAGATAAAAACGAAATGAAATTTGATAATCCAAAGGAAGTGTTATAAAATTAGAAAATAGGAGGGAAAAAAATGAAAAAGCACAACTATATAAAAACTAAGAGAAAAGCCTGGAACAAGACTGCAAATAATCGAGAATAAAAAATCGGATTAAATAGCTATGTTTATTTAAAAGTATATCGTAAAATAAATAAAACTTTTAGCCAGAAGCTTAAAGGATTTAACTTACATATTTATCATATCAATATCAGTAGTTGTTCATGGAAAGGTAAAATAAATTACATTGAGAATATTACGAATTACTTAATAGCTTATCCTGTATGACTAAAGGAAAATTATTATTAATTAAGTAAATATCTTTCTTATCTTAATAAGCAACTTTTACTATCAACAAAATATACAAAAATGTTTCTGTATTACTTTATTTCGTTTTAATTACTTTTTATTTTAAATTCGCGTGCATCGACCGGCGACGAGTTGCAAGCTGTATCAGTCGCGTTGAAGATGCGGCCAATGAAGATCAGCTAAACGTTTCGAAGTACTGGGTGAACAGATATACATATTACGGCGAGCCTAGGGGTTCTGCTAGCCCCCACAGAGTTTAGCCCGAGAACAACAAGGAAAAGTTGAGATTCCTAGCTAAGTCTAAGGGAGTGAAATATAAGTCGGAGACCAGGTACTTAGGCCATGACTTGACAGCTCGAAAAGACAGTCCTACTTTAAATTTATTAGTAATTTTTTATATAATTTATTAGGTGGTTTTAGACGTATATCGGTGCACAATAACTCTCGCTCTAATGCAGCATTTATTTCGTGTTTCTTGTTATTATAGATAAAAAAATTTTGCAACGATTATTCTTTGAAAGATAATAAATTCGTAATTATCAATTTAATTGGAAGCAAATTTAAAATACCTATTAATTATTACTTCGATAACTGTAGCGATAACTAGTTTTAGTCAAATAAAATTGTAGATAAAATACATATTAAACATAATGGATACCTGTGCTATGAAATTTTGCATTTCATCATTTCGGTTTGTCGTTTTTTCAACTGTAAATTTGCTAGTAATCCGTTAATCTTCTTATAATGTGTTTGTATAAGAAAATTTTTTTATCTATAGAAAATATTTTAGTGCGTATGAGGGAAGATAAAAAAATATTTAAGAAATTTCTAATTCCTGTAATTTTATAATATACAAGATGGAAAATGATTGCAATATTTTAAGAATGTTTTGATCATTAGACCTTAACTGATACATCTGTATTAAAATTACATTTTTTACTTCTAGACAATTACATCGTGTTGATCATAGAGCGCCTTAAAATGTCGGTCAAAAAACTAACGAAACTATTAATCAAGAGTTATATACTAATTGGGCGGTAATTGATTTTAATTGAAGGGGTGTATCTAACTGAGGACTTTATTCTTATGGTAGGCGTTTCCTTTATCACATTTAATATTTCCTTTACATTAACAGTGCTTAACGCTTTTAGATGACCAGCATAACGAAGCAAGTAATTAAAAATCACGCCTTATAAGGTGTTGGTTAATTTACCTGCATATCAGAATAATTAATTGTTATTAATAAAAGATAAAGATAAAAAATTCTCTCGTTCTCTTCACAACGTATCAACTAGTAACAAAACTTGATATATAAGGTCATGCAAGAGGTCAAATTTTCCTATTTCGACTAACAGAAAAGGAGAAATTTAAAGTACGCCCATAACTATGACGAATAATACAGTCTTAGTCATAAATTATAATCACTTTCCAACGACCTATTCAAATCGACAAGTCGATACAGCAAGTTTCGTTTTCTTTTCCGGTATAACTGTTAGGCATTCACTTTAGCTGCCGCTTTAAAAAAAATAAAAATATTTTAGATAAATAAGAAAAACAATAAAGTGTAATGACAAATGTTAAAACTGATCAGTACTTTTTTAAATCCACATTCGTCATATCCTAATTGTCTCTCGATATTTTCAGGAGAAACAATACGTAGATACAACTAAGATATCCTACGTAAGGGGTAAAAACTATTACCATTTCATCACCAAATTAGTATCCAAATCCAAGTTTAAACAAATTATCTCAAAAGACTTTTAAGATGCTGCTTTAAAGGAATACATGTATGTTATATCTTCCCCAATATCAATTTCCGAAAAGAGAATAAAACAATCTTATTTTTTCTTAAAAATTATCGGGAGACAGGTTGGGATCACCTTGTATACTCTGGTTAAATATACAGGGTGTCCCAAAACGGCGTGAACTTCCGATAACTGCTCAACAAAAAAGTTTCAGATAAAAGTTGGAGGATATCAAGAAACCAATATACTGGTGACCTTGGACAATAATTTTCAAGGTCAATCCAAGGTCAACCTGAAAATATTAAACGGAACACTCTATTTTTAAGCGAGTAATCGAAAAATCGAAACATTTTTAGGATTTTGTATGACAAATTAGATGGTGATCGTGGTTTTACCTTCATCACAAGTTTCAAGGTCAATTTAATATCAAAAGCAACTGATCAACGCCAAACAAGTTTTGTTCTATTTCAAAGATTTTTTCTAGGATGTTCTTGCAGGTAATTTGAAAGTTAAAGTAAAAAAATAATGGATAGAAAAGTAAAATAATTTAAAATTTCAAGTATTCAAATAAAACGATTAGCATTGTCTTGACAATAATTTTGAAACTTGACACATTCTGGAGACTGACATGGAAATACGAGGTTGTCATGATTTACCATAATTTTTTGGGTCTTTTTGAAACACGTTGTATGTCAGTCTGATCTGAATATAAAATATTAATCACCATTCTGAAAGAAAAAATTTCAATCGACTGAATTCTGTGATTGGTTCTGACAAATGTAGTCTCAAGGCCTACATTCTTTTTTACTACCTCCATGAGGAAACATTTAAGGAACAATCTTCATGTTCTGTGTGACTAAGCTTACAATAATGAGAAATACCCACGAAAAAATTCATATTAAGACAACAGAAAGATATGAAAGTCATGTGGAGAAATTCCAAAAATGGAAAGCACGTTTAAGTTTAGACAACTTGTAGGTATATGTAAATTGATGAAAGGCTAAATAAAAATAACATACATAACGTTTTAAACCTTATTTATAATTTTCATACAATTATGTACATTGTCTCGCAACTGTTGCATCATTATTGTCCGCTATGCACTTTTACAACAATTAATTTGATATCACTATCAGGTTTATGTCACAGATTTGACAACGTAGCAAAGTGAAAAACCTTGAAAGTAACCCAATGTCACGAATTGAACTTTAAGTTCAGAATTAAGTTTATACTGTTTTATTAAAATAGTAATACCGTACGATAGATGGTGTATTGGAAACGCAAAAATGTTCTCCTTATCCAAATTTAAGAATATTTTCTTATGGTTTTTGTATTGTGAGATACAGATACTTTTTTGAAAAAGTTATAGCTTTGTTCCTATATCAATCCAAACAGCTTGCAACAGCCAAGTAAGAAGGTCCTATATACAACATAAAGACCCCAAAAACATTTCCTAGAAAGTAATGATTTTTAACCCCATTTTTGGCGATTTTTTCGATTTTTACAATAATAATCATGATTCATTCGATTTGTAGCTAGTCGTATTATGTAAAATTTAATTACAAACATTTTTTTCCTCTTCCATTTTCGCCTAAAATCAACTCTTGAAAAGATACATAATTAAATAAGAAGAAAAACATGACATTTTTCGATTTTTTTAACATATTGTGCCGCCAAAAGTTAGGCCTACGTTTTTTTTATGCGCATAGAAAAATTTTCATTTCTAGTGATATTTGAAAGCCAAAAACCAAAAATCTCCGTGGATATACGATTCACCCAAACCAAAACAGATACCGCCTAGTCCACCAGGCGCATGCGCTTTCCACATAATGCTTACATAAGTCTAATAACTAAATATTTTCTGAACAAGCGGATATACAAACTTCAAAAATACGCCCCTAAATTCTTTGTACTCACTTTTCAATCACCCTGTATGTATTGAAGCGAAATTTTATGTACGTAATACATGATTTAAATGGTATTCGACATGACAAAAAAAAATAGTCTCACCTTAAACTAGTGACGATATGAGGTATGCTGATCATTTTGTGTACCAAGTCTATTTTAAAGGAAAATCGATGATTGAATTTTTATTTTTTTTTTGACGAATTTAGAATAATTGAATTAATTCTACAAAAGATGTTCAAAAAGCAGTTGCATGTCTCAGTATATTTTTCGATTTCAAAAAATATGTTAAAAAAATAATCAGATATTTAGAGATATAATTGTTTTAAACTCTAATACCCAGTGTTTCAAAAACAACGGTTTAATTTTTGTAGAAGAAGACATCATTTTGTCACATTCTTGGTGACCGATAGAAGAAGTATCTGGAACAATTCTTTAAATACCTCACATTTAGTTAAGGATTTGTAGAAAATAGGTTTATAATCCCAGTAAATATGGAATTAAACAAATCCCCTGTGTTGATGGATGAGGACACTTTTTTCAATTTCCAATCAGATTCCGGAGATAAGTAGCTGGTAGAAATAAAACGACACAATAAAAAAAAAACAAGCGATATAGAAAATCTCCAAATGTCCCATTTACGGTGGCGGAAAAAACTGCAGATGGTGACGATTTCCAGTCTCACCAAAACGAACTGCCTAAATCTAGTTCGCGGTGCAAGAACGTACAAAAAAAGATATCTAGACCATGTGATTTGGTGGAACATTAGATGGCGCATACGAATTGGAGCGGCAGTTACAGGTTCAGTAGTGTTTCGTGCAACTGGTGTGGTAAAAGGGCGCTAGAAGACGCCACAAAATAAAGCATCAACCGAAGCTGGTCTCAACTTGGAATGAGTGAAAGAAATTCAAAAGGTTAGTTTCATTCAATAACAGTGGCAGATATTTAATTATAAACAAGGACTATTCGTTTTTGTTATTTAAAATACTTACTGTACCTGCGTTGCCGCTTTCTTTCCTTATTTTTAGATTTTCACACAAACTGTTATATTAAGCGCATGCATTATTTTTAGTTAAACTGCAATACTTCTTGAAACTTGAATTAAATTGTCCCGAACTGACGATTTACCCCCTGTACTCACTCACAAAATTGAATCTAAATTATATTTTAATGCAACTGGCGCTGTAAGAATGCGTGTGACAGTTTTATTTTTGAAATTGCATCATTTGTTTTATAAAATATCAGAGGTTCAGACGACTGTTACAATTCTGTGACAATACTGAGTATAAAAGATTTTAATTTACTGTTTATGATTTGATAGACTATTAAAATTATCAATACTGGCATATTTCAATTATTAAACGATTAAAATAACAACTTGCTAATATAGAAATTGATTGTTTCTGTATGGATATTTCAAAATACAACATTTATATTAAAATTATAGATCTACTGCAAGTCACTTATAATCATTTTAGTAATTTTGTAAACTTTATAGGTAATACGTTATTAAAAACAAGTAAAATATGCTTCTGATAAATTTTGTAATATAACAAATTAGATAGATTAATCAATTTTGGGGGTCTTCATAAAATTTATAATTTTATTATATAGGTTGATTAGCAGTATATTTCTATTTAAAAGTAGACAATAAGTACCTAAAATATAATTATTATTAATTCATTTGACCTTGACTTAGTTAAAGAACATAACTATAGTTAAACTAAACGAGAAAAAACATGAAATATTTACTATTATTGAATGTTATATTAAGTTATTTATTACTTTCATGTTCCACTGTATTAAAAATGTAACAACTTTATAAATCAATACGTGGAATAAATTTATTTTATCTTGTTAGAGATGCCAAGAATAGTATAGGATTATTTCGAACGTAAATTAAAGTCATGTGTTATTTTACCTATCTTTCAACTATACAGGGTGTCCCACCAGGAATCGCCACTTTTTATACCTCGAATAGCACTGATCCGATAAATCTAAAAATTTGGCAACCTAGCAAAGGCAGTAGAAGCAACACAGCTAAAATATTTAAAACTGTATGACACTTCGGTTATACCGGAATTTTCTTATTTTAAATTTTAAATGGAACATCCTATATATTATTTCACTTTCGGATTCTACATAAAATTTTAGTGCCACTTTATTAAAAATTTGACAGATGCAAGGGTACGCGGAGATGCTAGTAACTTTTTTCAGGAGATTTATATCAAGTGGACTTTTGGTATCTAAAAGGGGCATAGGTAAAACTAAATTATGGTATACCAACAAATTAAAACATTTAATACTAGGTATTTCATTTTTGCTGTTACATTTTGGTAACTTCTAATAGCTATAGCTTTGTTAACTTAAAGGAACACCCTGTATTTTTTTACTCTGTCGTATACAGATTGAAATTTCCTTTCAAGCCGTATAAGCATTGTTAGGGTTGAAATTACTACTTTTAGAGATATTTTTGGGCAGTTTTTCTCGTTATCAAATTGCCCATAACCAGAAACACTCCAAAAACAATTAATTTAAACAACTTGTCATTTGTCAGGCTAGTTGTCAAATTATTGTTACGTATGTAATAGTTTCTGCTGAAAATTTAAATAAAAATGCCTTGGGATCGTTTAAATTATACTAATGACGATTATTTTAATTGTTTTGTTATTTATGGACAATGTGACAGTCATTTCAAAAATATGTAAAGATAATAAGATAATGCTGCTTGACGTGGTGATTCCTGGTGGGACACCCTGTATATGTAACATGCTGCACTTGCAATTATATACGCAAAAATAAATAATTTTTGCATTTAAAGACTGTTACTAAGTAAGTATTACAGAAAAAACGTTCCCTCATTACTATTTTTAATGTAAAAATAGCCCTAAATCCTCCAAAAACTATCACAATGCATTCAATTACAATCAAACACTACTTTTATCTAACTAAAGTACCTGACAATAAAATATCGTATTGTTAGGATTAATTGGAGGAAGATACTTGAAACATTTTTTATGATCTATGATTAAAATTATTGAATACCTTTCCGTCTAAGTACTTACTTATCTGTTACGTATGGTTCGAGTCACGTTGGATAAACTGTCCTTTAAAATTGACTCATACCCAGATAATGACAAAAGATATATACAAAAAAATCCAAAAATTCCAGAAAAATGTGAAATCACAATGGGTTGGATATGAAGAACAAGTCTTTCAAAGTCTTTAAGCTTAGCAAGTAGGTACAGGGTGATACATTATATTTTGCCCCCCCCCCATTAACTTTTTTGTTTTAAGAGTTATAAAAAAATGTGGAATACAAAAGTTGCACGATTTTTTATGAAAATGGTAGAAAAATAAATGAAGCCCAAACAAAACGGCCGCGGATGTTAACTTTGTTAATTTAAATAGAACACCCCGTATATTTTTACATATTTAGATAGAACGTTCCCTGTCGAGCATAGTCATATAGGATTTGTTAGGTCCATCTCTAACAATAAGCGAGATAATATTAAAAAACGAAACGTTTTTTTTAAGAAAATAAGATATCTTGTAATTGTTAGACCTCTTTCAGGCATTTCTGCCCTTTTTCCAATTACATTAACATTAACATCCGCAGTCATTTTGTTTGGACTTCATTTGTTTTTTTACAATCATTTTCGAAAACTTCATAAAAAATCGTGTAACTTTTGTATTTCACATTTTTTTATATAACTCTTACAAGTTAATGCCTAACTTCTCATAAAAAGTTTAAGTTAAAATCCATTAAACACCCGTTATATCTACCTCCCATTAAAGTCTGTCGCATTGAATCTAAAACATCCTGTACGTAGCGATGACTTATGTTTCGAACCACACTGATTCATGGCTTATTTCTGGTAGCCTCATCCGATATCATAATATTTCAGTAATTGCTTAATTGGTAGTACGGTTAGGACCGGTATTAACAAACTGCTTATTTTTATTTTCCAATTGAAACTGATTCATACCCCTTTTATTTATAAAATAATCGAACATATGCTAAGGTCATAATCATTACGATATTTCAAAACAATTAACTAACTAATTGGTAACATGGAGTTTCGATCAACACGTGCGGATTGTGCCAGTGAACAATTGGTAGTTAATATTTTTAGTACAGTTTGTTTTAACATGAGAAAAAAAGTTTGAAGTATTAAACACAACGGTTGTCAAAAATCAATGAAATCTTTTAGGTATTTTTAATACGAATACGATGATGGCGAAACAAAAGTTAATATTATTGCAGTGATGAACCTTGTAAACTAAAAAGTTATTTATTTTATGAACGTTCTATTTTCGATGAGAGTTCGATGGAGTAAAGAAAAATATAAACAATGTAAGGACATATTGAAGCAAAACAGCAAAACCCAGCGTAAACAGCTACGATTACTCGACAGTCATCATATACTCATCATCATATCATGTTGATGTCTTAACTTCAAATGGTCAATGGGGCCTCGCTGGCAGAGAGCAACCTGCAATTTTGCAGCTACTATGGAGGCACGATTAATAAATTTAAATTAAATTTAACGATACTCCTTACCAATAACACCACTGGCAATAAGTAAAAAATGAACTGATATAGACAGAAACTTAAGATCTACTGACTGTGGAATTTTTTTGCCTGACGTATTTGGGGTCAAAATTAAATATTAAACTTCCTCATGACCTGACGTCGAATTTTAGTAAATCCCAAGACTGCCAAATACAAAAATAACTATCCTACTAGTAAAAGATAATTAAATTCAGTACTCTTGCTTAGTTAATACAAGTGGGTGAAAAATTCTACTTGGGCGAGCGTTATGGCTATAAAATATGGTAAAATTCATTCATACATATTTAAAAGCAGTTGTAGGAAATCAGGTGTGACGACCTGAGTATAAATAAACTTTTTGTTCACTACCTATTAACAAATTATTATTATTGTTAATTATTTACAGATAAAGTATTTAGTGACTTTTATAACTATCCATCATTCAGTATCAGTTATTATAATGCATGTTGTGTGTATGGGACATTCCATGCAAACTCAGATCGTGACCTGACCATTCTTAACTTTCCTGTTTCTTTGGTATTATTTAGTACCCGTTTAGAGTAGCTTTCATGAATTTTTTCAAATTTTTATTTCAACCCCTCAACAGGTTATGAACGTTTGAATATTGTAGGTAAAAATTTTAAAATACCTGTAACTTGGCAAAAGCTAAAGACATCATAAATTCATTTTGTTCGTTTTGAGATGCCGTTTTATAAAAATATAAAAATAATACATTTTTAGTTTTTTGAGTTTTTTCTGATTTTTAAACTAAAAAAGGATCTTTTGAAAAACTGGCGTTTTTCCCTTTAAAAAATATTTTAGGCCCTTACCAAGAGCAAAATTCAGTAATTTTTAAACGCACAAGTACAAAACAAACCACAACATATGCTCAAAATGTTCCATGCACTCACGACACCTTCGAATCCAATTTTCGCGCACTCGCTGGAAAACGCCTCAGGAAAAGAAAATAGTAGTACACAAAAAACACTCCGACACGGTTGAATCCAGATACCAACTGACTTGCGTATTGGTGATTGCTGGACACCTTAGTACCTCGTGTATTAACCGCCGCACCGTTGTCACATTGCTCGATATGAATTTTAAATTTATTACAAAGCTAATTATTTTTAGAATTAATCATAAAGATCAAAAAAGCGATACAATATTGTATTTTATGGTATTTTATGCACACATTATGTCAATATTCCTTAATTAATCGAGTTGAAGATTTTAATAATTTTTTCTCGGAAATGGTTAAGTTTAGGACCCATGTCATATAATGTTTTTTTGTTTATTTTAATGTATTCTATCGTCTGTTAAAATTAAGGCAGTCAAACTTCTGATACCCTGTAGAAGTAAATCGCGGTGACTAATTACTAAAAATACCATATTTTTAAAATTAATACTAATATTGTCATTATTAAATATCTAAATAATTATTATTTACTAAATATTCCGTTTTTCTTTTTTCTCAATATTAAATAGTTTGTTTTGCATAATGCCATAATACTTGTCATATTTTTGACCATGTGTATTTAGTAAAAATGTTTATATATAGATAGGCTAACAACGAAATAAAAAGAAATCAATTTCTAAAATACTTGACGGATTTATTTTCTGTATTTGTGAAAGAAAATGAGTCATCGTTATGTTCACTTGAGTTAAATAAAGAAAATAATGTTATAATAAAATTTAATATTGTTGTATCAAAGCATCCATCAAAAAACTAAAAATGTATTATGTTTATTTTTTTATATATAACACTACATCTTAAAACGAACATAATGAAAAAAAATGTATGATATTTTTGGTTTTTGCCACGCAATTTTTTAACCAAAATATTTAAATGATCTTCTTGAGTGGTTGAAATAAAAATTTTAAAAAAATCAGAAAAGCTATTCTAAATGGGTACTAAACAATACCAAAAAATCAAAAATAATAAAAATGACCGTCCTCAGTGATTTGGCATTGTAGAGCTCAGACATTTGTCAAGTGTTGGTGTAGTCGAATTTTCTTGATACTATCTCTTTGTTGAAGAGCAATTATCGCCACTTAAATCATGTTTGATGCAGGTGGACGTATTTATTTTATCAGCGCCGTTTTGAGATAATCTCTAGACTGAAATTAACAGTTACTGACCTACACACGTACAAACGATAGTCAAAATTATAAATAGAACAGTGAACTTCATTTAGAGTCAAGATCAGGGACGTACGGGAGTCTAAAATTAAACTTTGGCTGGTAATAGCGTCGATTTTATGGGAAAAATACCTAACAGTTTGGAACAATTACTAAACTACCCACTCGTGCTTCGAAGTTGGTAACCCCGTAAGTAGTGGATAGTTAGGGATACCAAGCGTACTGTTAAATTGTCCCCCTACAGCTCTGATAAAGTTGATCATTGAAATAATTTGCTTTAGCTAGCTTTTGAAATAGTGATACATAAAATTAAACTATTGATTTACATTCAAGGTAACTTGATTTGATCAGCGTGAATATAAGCTCCCTCAGTATCAGTGTACCAAATAATTTTTTTTTAAATTATAATAGTAATGACGCCAAGATAGAAATTTGTATTTAGTTTTTTTTTGCATATACAGTATGTACGCGGTTATCTTTTGGACACCCCGTACATGAAACATGAAATATTAAGTTTCACCATGGCAACCTGATTTTAAATTCAAGCAAAACTTTTTATCAAGTAAGCCTTTTTTCCGTAAAGTGTAAAATAAAAAATATTTTCCTCTTATTCATCCTATCCGCTAACATACTGCATGTACAAGTTTTGTTAATAAGCTTCTTGGTCATTAATCAAAAATATTTTTGGCAGAATTTATTTTTACTACGAACTTTTGGGGTTAAGAACTTGAGATAAACTTTTAATTATATGAATGACAACTTATCAAAAAAAATTGGGATGCACCTACAATCAACCCATACAAAGGTCATAGTGTACAAAACATTATGTTATTAGATCGTTTTTTATTCTCTTTTAAAGGCTTAATCTATTTTTTTTTTGCTTGGTGCCAGGTGCAGAGATGATATTTTATAGCAGCAACTACATTTAATTATTTTTATTTTTGCAATATACTGGTGTAATTTGTGTTTCTCAGTTAAGTTAATAACAAAGACAATGATTTGAATAAAAAAAATAAATTATTAAGTTTGATTCAAATAGACGATCCATATTTTTGCTACAGTTCTGTATTGGGCGATTCAAGTGTCTTGGAAAAAAATTATTTCTCTTGAAATAATGAAATTCCCATAAAATATTCTATATCTCGACGTCGTTAATGAGGAACAAATCTATTATTAAAAGAACCAGTACGAGGGAAAACCGACTTTGAAATTGGGACCTATTTAATATTAATTTTGACCTTTCTCTGTGTAGATGGAGTATTTTCTTACATAAAAAAACGTCTGATGAGAAGTGCACACCATAATTTTTCACTTAATAAATTCAAAGCTCTCTACACTCGCATGTTGAGTTTTACTAAAACCCATTTTTTTAATGGATAACCCACTCTCTTGGAATAGTCTTTTTTCACCTGTCTACGCCAATAGAGCTGTTAGTTCAGATTTTATTTAGTCTATGACTCTATGGTGTTGTAAAAGCACAGCGTAATGTTATTTTTCTCCTTGATGCATGATAAGAACACCCTAGGACTTATTTTATGCGTGTGAAGAGACACATGTCAATTTGAAATGGACTGACGGCAGACAATGATTTTTATGGTCGATGTATGTTCTGTGGCTGAATAAGTTGTAATACCCTTCAAAACTAGTTTATTTAGTTGGTACTAGCTCAATTTGAATTTAAATTTCGCTTTGAATATTTCGGTTTCCTGCCAATCTCAAACAATACAAAGTAGGAATTCACGGTTATTTCAAAAGCAATTTCCTTTATTGAAGTGTACAGGAAATAAAAGTTTTAAGCTATGTACGTTTTGATTTATAACAGCTCGTTAATATTTAACATTCTTTTACATGAAAGAAGTAAAGTAAAGTGAATATTTTAATACAAATAAATATCTGCTTTCTAAAGCATGGTACATTAAGTATTATCTCCAAATAAATTTGTCTGATATTATAAATTTACAGGTAGAACAAATATATTAAACTTTCTAGTACAAATGACTTTTTTTTATCAATTTATCCCCATATATGATTCATCAGTTTTATTAGCTGAACGCTAAAATCAATTTTCCAAAGAATGCATGAGTCACTTTTATCTTATAATAAATTGAACAAAAAAATGTATGCATGCTGCATCCAATTCAATTCTTAAATCCACTTTTTAAATAACATTTTGAAAATTGAAAAAGAAATTAATAACCTAAGTACTGAAAAAAGTAGAAAAATGTTCAAGTCCCGACCTGAATAGAAGCCCCGTTTTTGCAGAGTTTAATTATCAAAGTTTTTATGGCGAATCAATTTTGTTAATACAGCATGGAATGTCAGATGGAATTGTGCCAACTTATTTGTGAATAAGGAGCTGTCTGTGCAATTAATTTGTTATTAATTTAGGTATATTTCATTTTAATTCTATTTAATTCTATATTAAATTTTGAATTATAATTTTTAACAAATGTCTCTAAACCTAGATCACTCATTTTAATTTTAATAATGTAAAAAAATATAAAAATAATTTCCCTGGAGTAATTTTCTTCTGGGAAATATTATCTAATTTGGTAGGTATCTCATTAAAATTTTTAGTGATTCTCATAACATTGTATACATAGATGGAACTAAATAAACTAAACCTATCTCTACATACATTTATATGCAGTACATGTATCGATTTTATTATTACCATTTCTATTATATATTAATGTAAAAATGAAGAAGTTTTAAACAATAACGTCCACCAACCAGCAGTGAACATATGCATTATCCACAAAAACATGAATAACCATTACATGAGTTATATATTGCATTGAAATATTTATGTTCGGGCACAATGCAGAATGAGTTTCGATTACGTTTTTATAATTCGGTAATAATAAATCCTGACAAGAATTTCATAACACAATTTATGTGATTCAGATGGTTTGCAATTGTAGAAAATCTGTTTATATTTAGATGACTTACTACAGATTTAGTAGTATGACTGGTTGCATAATAATGAATCTTGTTTGGTTTTTATTATCTCAAAATTCCTAAACAAAACGACTAAATTATCTGGTTACGTATTGTATTAGAGCACTGTTTTCAAATAAATTTGGAATATAAACAACAATTTTAGTGCAATTTATTCAACTTCTGTTTGATTTACCGCTATCTGAAAATAACCTTAAAAAAACCGTAACTTTTACTGGTTTGAGTATTCAATGCCTATGCTTTAAAATAAATGTATGTATTTATATCCAGATGTATCTAATTACCTAAGTAAGGTAACCAGAATCAAATTATGAAAATATTGTCGTCTAAAATCATACTTATAAAAACAGATAGTAAAAGTTCTGAAATTATCAATCGTTCCTACACTATTGAACAAAAAGCTTTAGCTTCTGTCTGAAAGATGGCGCATTTAAGGCTTTATATTCGTGTATAAATGAGATATAAATAATAGTAATAATTGTTTTTACTTTATGTGAACTATATTACGATTCTTCAGCTGAACTTTCTCGTACTTATAAGAAGTGGTCAAATATAAATCTCAGAGAAGATTTCCGATACAATTCAGAAAAGTCGACATGATTGTCAAAAGAATGAAAAAAAATTGAAATGTCTGAAATAAAGCAACTGTACCAGACACTGATTTTTCGCCCTAAACTAGAAAAATGTTCATTATCATAAACTGTTAATCAGACCAATTATGTACTTCAAATATGAGAACTATTCGGAAACTATTTTTTACATTTTTTCGCAAATGATTAGAAGAATTCTTCGTAGCACCATATACATTTTTAATTGTTTAAATTAAACCGTTTGAAATGTTCACTGGCTGCTGCGACACACCCTATGTATTATGGTAACTAGTGCGCTCTATAGTTGTTTTAAATTTTAAGCACCCAGTGAACTTCATATCTGACTAAATTACTTTACTGTCTTCCAGACAAAATGTCCAACAAACTGTACATTTGGGACGAAAACACAAAACAGTCGCCATTGGAAAAGGAATCCTTTATACCGATAAAGGAGCCAGCAGAGGAAAAAAAGGTGGTGATCTTCAAACCACCAGATGACGAAGAACACGACAGAGGTGGTTGGAGCAACAAACTGGACTTCCTCATGTCGTGCATAAGTCTGTCTGTCGGTCTGGGGAACGTGTGGAGGTTCCCTTATTTGTGTTACAAAAATGGAGGAGGTAAGAAATTATGATTGTGTACAAGAAGATGGGCCTTCTGCAGAGTATTCCTTGGTCAAATATAACAAAATTTTAGAAGATTTATTTATATTTGCAGACTAATGTGCTTTCTTTGATGATGACTGTTACACATAGGTATATATATTTCAGTTTACCGTTCGCTTTATTTAAATTTTCCAGGAGCAATATTATTAGAGAAAGATTTTTATTAATATAGTATTGAAAAAGTGAGTTTCATAGAACTCTCTTTTTGTAAGAAGTCTAAGAATTAACTCCCAGTCCATTTTAATTTTTTTTTAACATTATAGAAGTTTTGACAGTCAAATTAAGGAACATTCTACATCGAAAATTTCGAGAAAACGAAATGTTCTCCAGAAAAAAACTATTGATCTTTAAATGTTTGTAGTTACGACCAACATAATTTTATTCTGAACTTATGTTCTTAAAGTTTTTACAATTTAAAGTAAAGACTAAATTTTTAAAAGCAGACATGGCCATTAAACGAATAAAACTTTCAGTAAGTGATAATTAAGCACAAAGGTCACTAATTTCTGTAATTCCATTTAAAAAGCTATAGGATAGAATTTAACATCTAAAAACAACCTAAGATCATCCACCTAGAGTAAGTAATTGACATCAAGGCATTCAGTTATTCATTCATTAATAAAAATAACGAACAAGAGTGGCCCCAAAATTGAACCGTAGGGAATCCCTGAAGATTGATGAAATTTGTCTGATTGGAAGCTACGATGCTGTATAAACTGGTATGTGTTAGTGCAAATAAGACTTAAACAGAGATAACCGATTGAATGCTTTAGAAATCTCGATTGGGTAAAATTACTTTAAGAAATTTATTTACTTGTTATGGCTATGGGCCGCTACAATTATTTTGAACATGTAAAAATAAGATACAAAACATGTGCTGTTAAAATTAACTTGCACCAAATATCCTCAGAAATTTTCGCTCGTCGTATTTTTAATTCCGTTGTTTCAGCACATTTAATCTACGAAATACCTGTAGAAAACCCTGCCAATAAAATTTCATCCTCTGGCTTTTCATTCAATAAGAATGACATTCTCAAGATCCTCTCCAAATACCCCTTCTTATGTAAAACACCCACGGCGTGTACATTTTATTTATCTTGCCCCGAATAATATGTAAAATTTATATATTGTCATTTTATTAGCTCTTATGTCCAATATATTGATTTTACAATGTCATTTTCAGCGAAAATTTAAACTAAAAAAAAAATGTAAAAGTACCCACTACTGGTAATTTGTTTTTATATGGAATAAAAATATTTATTTTACTCCCTGGCTTGCATATTTATCACGGAATATTTGGATTTCACGGGGTGAATTAATTAATTTTGATGCCTAAATATTATTCGCAGAGCTGGTATGAGCTAAAATAGCAAATACGAATGTTATTTAATGTTTACTGAAGCGTTGTTACATGGAATGATTTCATCCCTGTAATTTCGAAAATTAGCAAATAACAATAGAGCAAGGTTAGTTTGTTCCAGATAAATGAATTAATAGTGTACAAATAAGGATTAATCATTTACAAATCATCCTTATTTGATCTACTACCAAGCAAAATTGCGTGACCATTTTTTCTTTGTTATTTGCTACAACGTAGGTTAAATTTCGCATAATTTAAATATTTTCTTGGATCTTAGTTTGGTATAAGGTATACCATATACATACATGTATCGAATATATTCATAAAACTGTTGACAATGTTGGAGGTAATACTTATATTATGTACTTCAGATATCACATTTTCCAATTCAACAATATGGATTGAATAGCCATTATAAGAAAAAGTTAAAGGGAACATAGGACTCGTATAGAGCTTATCTAAAAGTTTTCAACTTTACCACACTCGGAGACCAAATGTTAAGTTTTGCCTTGCACGAACTTCGTAGAGGCGATAGAACTTCCAATGTACTGCACTCATGGCTAATCTTTTATTTATGCGCTGTAATGATATGATATCAATATACACAGATTTTTATAAGTAAAATTTGACGTTGCGTGCGAAGCTGGAAGAAGAGTTTAAAAATCATTTTAACTATGTAAATAAATATTACATAAAATAAACTTCACGAAATGTCAAGTCCAATTTAATAGACTCAAATTTAGTAAATTCTTCCCCATAATAAGGGCTCTGTTTGAATTTTTAAATTGTTTAAATTGTTTTTGTTTTGTTTTAGGAACATTCTTATTTACATACACGGTGGCCATGTTTCTATGCGGAATACCGATGTTCTTCCAAGAAGTGGCTATTGGTCAGTACTTGGGATCTGGTGGAATGACCTTTGTAGGACATCTCTGCCCCATTCTAAAAGGTGTAGGCTTCGCGGCAATGACCATTGTGTTCCTGTTGGACATCTACTACTGTGTTATTATTTCTTGGACGTTGTTCTATATAATCAGTTCATTCAGTGCGTTACCTTCCCTACCCTGGGCGGGCTGCGGTAAGTACTTAATGCGTTTAACGTTCAATTATAGTTTAACGTACATGATACCCTTTCAACACGTATATTTTCGTGCTTTATGGATTTAACTTTCAAGTATAGCGTAACGTAGACAATACCCATTCACCATGTATATTTAACGTACTTTAATCATTCAAGTATACTTTAACGTACGTTATACAAATTAATAACGTAAATTTAACATACTTTATGCAGTTCAACTATAGTTTAATGCCATTTAACACAAGTTTAAGAGGTTAACGTATATAAACGCGTTCAACATTTAAGTACAGTTTACTGACATTATGTTCGTCTACCATGTATATTTAACGTATTTTATGCATTTGACTAAGTATATTTTAACATATATTATAACCTGTTAAAACGTATATTTAATGTACTTCATGTAATATTGAAGTATAATTTAACGTTCAATACGTATATTTAACGTTCAAGTATAGTTTAATGTACATTATCCTCTTTTAACACGTATATTTACATGCTTTATAGATTTAACGTTCAAGTATACTGTAACGTACACAATACCCATTCAACATGTATATTTAACGTACTTTAAGCATTCAAGTATACTTTAACGTACGTTATACAAATTCATAACGTACTTTATGTATCCAAGTTCAAGTACAGTTTAATGCTATTTAACACAAGTTTAAGAGATTAACATGCATAAACGCGTTTAACGTTTAAGTACAGTTTAATGTACATTATGTTCGTCTACCACGTATATTTAACGTAATTTATGCATTTGATATTCAAGTATACTTTAACATATATAAAATAACCTGTTAAACTGTATATTTAACATACTTCATTTAGGTTTAACGTATATTATACAAGCTCAATACGTATATTTAACGTACTTTCTACATATAACGTTCATTATCCCCTTTTAACACGTATATTTACGTGCTTTATGGATTTAACGTTCAAGTATAGTGTAACGTACACAATACCCATTCACCATGTATATTTAACGTACTTTAACGTTAATATAGTTCAATGTACATTATACTGATTAAATACGTATATTTATTGTACTTTTTCAAAATTCAAGTATAGTTTAATGCATATTAGTCGTTCATCACGTAATATACTTTATGCATTTAAACATATATTATACCTATGCAGCAAGTATATTTAATGTAACATTATGCATTATGCATAAATAACGTACATTATCTCCGTTTACCACGTATTTTTAATGTACCTTATGTATTTAACGTTTAAGTGTAGCTTAACGTACATTACGTCTGTTTACCACGTATTTTTAATGTACTTTATATATAGTGTCAAGTATAGTTTAACGTACATTATACCACTGTCAATATTTAACGTACTTTATACTTTAAAGTACATTTTACCCATTCAAAACTTAGGTATTTATGCAAAAAGTTGCACTTCGTATAATTCAAAGGGTAGGGATCCCAAAAATATAACACCCTGATGTTGTGCTTATACGTATTCGAGAAATAATTATATTTTATAAAAATAGAGTACTAAAACATTTTTACAGTAATAACTTTAATTTTATACTCTTATATATTTTTATGAATTTCATTAATTCAATATCTTTTAAATTAAATTAAGTATATAACAATGGGCTAGGTATAAGCTTCGGATAACAAATTTCATTTATATCAATCTGAATCAAAAAGGGGTGTGGAAAGTTCGAGGGATATCTTGCAATCTCCTCAGACTAGTCAATCTATTCTATCTTTCATTGTATGTTCGATGCCAACATAATTCCTCCTTTTCAATTTAAAATGAAATAGTATCAGAATTTTAGATCGGGAAAGATCTGCGTCTTGCAGCAAATATCTCATAAACTACGTGCTCTGCGAAGAACATAAAAGGAACATCAATCAGGATAGTTTTTGCACCTTTGTGTTCCTTCAGAGTACATGTGCATTGCCTTGTTATTATCGGGAAGATGTACAATGCATCTGCAGTTTATTTATTCAGATTGTCATTAGAGTCGATACTGAGAACAAGGATATTATAATAGTTGTCATTTATAGATATAAAAAATACGTAATTAAAAAAACAGTGTAAGTTCATAGAAAAATACAGAGTCTTCAGCGCATGGCTCTTCAAATTGTCTTGTCACTTTAGTTTTGTAGCAAGAATTTATAATGCGTTCACACCCAGTACAAACAGGTCATTTCCTTTAATACGTATGTCCCTGTAAGCTTCGGGATCACTGTCAAACCACATTTAAAATAATTCCCGCCTATTTCTTTCCTCTTTTGGCATTTTACTCCACTTTCCCCCTAACTAATAGTTGTTGACGTAAATTATGTTTCTATTTATAAGATAAGCTATAAATTTAAGAGAAAAAGATGAAAAATTATAGTTAATGTTAATGTGAGCGCTCCAACAAAATTGTCAAATTTATCATAAAAAAAATTAAGCCAACACACAAATAATTGTCATATGAAACGTATTATTAAGTACACTTAGGACTGAAAAAAGTTTAAAGGGTTTAAAGTCGGTCAATAAAATCTTGTTTTAAAGAAACATATGCCGTGAGGATTTGAAACTTTTTGTTTTCTGCAAAATTTGATATAAAATATATAGACAATCCTGCTATCCGATGATTTTCTACCGCATTAAATAAAAAAAATTTATCAAATGTTTCCTTAAAAAATATTATAAAAGAAACATGTATACGTATATGAAAATTATGCTATAAAAAAATTAGTTTATTTAATTTTTATGTAGATACACAATTTAAAAAAGTCCTTTTCTTAAGCTTGACCTTATTGTAACAGAATTCTCAGATTATTCTAAATAGCAAAGGAAGTTTCGTTTCTTTTTTTCCACCTCGGATTTAGCTGTTTGTTTGATTTTATCAATTTGTTGCTACGGTTAGTGTCGAAAAGAAAATAAGGTTTTACGGACGTACGATTGCTTTTATCAGGCTTTGTTCGTTTACACCAGCTTGCTTGGATCACGACCTAAACACTTTGACGTCGCTGCTATTAGAATATCTTGTTCTGCCTCCAGAGAGCATTGTCAAATTATCGAATTTGGGTAAAGTAAGGAGGTTTACAGTTTATTTTTATATTCTATTTAATTACAAGCAAATTTAATTCAATGAAATCAGTCTATATAGCTCTAAGGTGACGTTAATGACGTCTTTTTCTTGACATTAACGACGCATTTACTTAAGTCCTAATTTAAAGCAAATGGCAAACTTGCAATTAACTTGATGGGATCACTTATTGTAGCAATCGCTATTTTGCGACAATATAATTCTTCTTTGAATTGTCGTTTAGAAGTAATTACGTTGAAAACAAGTTTAGTTTTATTTGTGTATTTAAAAATTATATGCATTAATTGAAGGAACTAGTTACTCACCCAACTATAAATTTATATAAAAATCAGAATCGCGTCTATTAAAACTGCGAGACGGGCTTACAGGTATAGTGTCCCTAAAGTTATTTTAATAACCTTATCTCGTTTACGTTGAATCTAAGGGGAATAAACACATCCCTGGGGCTATGAATAATTTATTTAGTTTCCGTTCAAAGTTTTTGTGCAGACGTGCACTAGAACTTCTCGCGTATTTGACAAATTTTTTATTACTGAAAAAAAAAATTACAATTGATTTCTTATCACTGTTTTCAGATAACTGGTGGAACACAGAGAATTGCTATGCGGGTTCAACCAACGCATCTGTGATGACAAACGTTACCAGCATTAACAACACGATTAGGACATCAGCGGTAGAAGAATTTTTTGAGTAAGTTCTCAAATAAGTTCGAATGATGTGAATTGTAAGAGGTGAAACGATTTTATATCGTTTTATTTTAGCCACCGAGTTCTTGGTATAACCGATGGATTGACTAACATTGGTGGACTTCAATACGGACTCTTCGCTTGCTTGTTTCTAGGATGGGTACTTGTTTATCTGATTATTAGAAAAGGACTACACCAAAGTGGAAAAGTAAGCTTAAAAGGAATTTATCTCATTTATTTTGATCACCGAGATTAGTACTTGAAATAAATAAACAAACTCTATCTGTTTCACAAATTTTGTATTAGGTACGTATCTGTCTAACAGTATATAAAATCTGTGGAAAATTTGCTTTATTATATTATACAGGTTGGCCAAATGAAAACGAAACAGAGCCATATTCAGGAACTGCGTCAACATTGTAGAAAAACGCTCAGACCCTTCGATTTTAGATTAAAGGGGGACATTCTTTGCTGGTATTTTTGACTCCGCCACTTTCACCCCCAAGCAAGGGTAAGCATCACCTCAAAATATTTAAATGGCATTGGGGGTTGAGTAATATTTCTTTTGAAAGCTCTTACAATTCTCTTTACAACAAACTTTAAATTTTATAATTCCGCCCAATACTTATTAAGAATTTTGATTTTAAAGTTGAAACTTATGTACAAACAATTAGTAACGGTAAAAACGTCAGTCATTCGAGTTAAGTACGCCAATGGTATAAATTTAGTATTTCTTGCGTTACATTGGTTATTGGCGATTTGTTATCACTTTCGTAAAAAAAAACACAATTGTAAAAAACAGAAATGAATGCTATACACGCAATGAACGTAAAATTAGTGGATTCCAAATTATTTTCTATTATTATTTGGAAGCGTTGGTAGGTAGTTTATTTAATTGTGTTTTTGAAAATTAAACACTATGGTTTATTCCATTGCGGAAAGGGTAGATATCATTTCGCTTTACTTTATGAACAATAAATGTGCGAATAGAACAGCTCAGCTTTTTAATGAACAACATCAAGATCGACATGCCAGGAGGTAGAATGTTCTAGAGTTAATAAAAGAATTTCAAGACACATGGAACGTAGCCAATAAAAAACGAGAAATTGAAAAACCTGAAGCTGCAGTTTTGGGACAAGTTTTTGATCCTACATTAAGTACGAAGCAGCTGGCATCTGTGTCTGGGATCAATCGGACTAGCATACAAACCATTTTGAAGAAGAATAAATTCCATCCATACAACATACATTTAGTCCAGGAACTTCATGAGGATAATTATGACCGCCGTTTGCAATTTTGCGAAATAATCAGTGAGCGAGCAGGGAACGATCCACAGTTCCTTTTTAACATCTGTTTTTCTGATGAATGCAGTTTTTTCTTGAACGGGGCGGTAAATCGTCACAATTGCCGCTATTGGTCCGATTCAAACCCAAGAGTTTTTCACGAGGTGCATACACAGCAACCGGAAAAATTAAATGTATCGGCTGGAATTTTCGATGACCGGCTGGTGGGTCCTTTTTTTCTACCTGGTAATTTGACTGGCCAAATGTATTTGCAATTACTGGAAGACGCTATTGACCCTGCCTTGACTGATATTATTGAAAATGTTCCAGAGTACGATGAAGATCATCTGATTTTTCAACAGGACGGTGCTCTTCAGCATTATGCGTTAATTGTCCGTCAGTATTTGGACCAACGTTTTCTACGGAATTGGATTGGGAGAAGACGCAGCATTGAGTGGCCTCCACGATCACCGGATTTATCGCCCCTTGATTTCTTTTTGTGGGGATACTTAAAAAGTAAAATCTATAAAACACAACCAGCGTCGCTGGAATATTTGCGTCAATGAATCGTCGACGAATGCCGTCGAATCACTCCGGAAATGCTTCGGAATGTGCGGAACGTTTCGAACAAAATATTTATTCTTGTATGGAAGTGGACGGTCATCAGTTTGAACATTTAATCAACTAAGTAGTAAGTAAGCAACTGAACATAATTTAAATTTTAAAATGTAATTTTTTTTAAAGTATTGGGCGGAATTATAAAATTTAAAGTCTGTTGTAAAGAGAATTGTAAGAGCTTTCAAAACATATATTACTCAACTCCCAATGCCATTTAAATATTTTGTGGTGATTCTTACCCTTGCTTGGGGGTGAAAGTGGCGGAGTCAAAAGTACCAGCAAAGAATATCCCTCTTTAATCTAAAATCTACGGGTCTGAGCGTTTTTCTACAATCTTGACGCGGTTCCTGAAAATGGCTCTGTTTCGTTTTCATTTGGCCACCCTGTATATCTGTCTACAAAAAGAGGACTGTATTATGTTAAAATGTAAATTAAAGAGAAAATAGGGTGAGTTTATATCCAATACTTATCTCTCGCTATACCTGGATGGAAAAATAATAAAGCGATATCCAAAAACAAGCAACAAACTTCACTTAAAGGGTATATGAATAAATACATCTGGGCAACTTTGGTGTTTTTGCTCTTTAAAAACAAAAATATTTGGTAAAATATTGGCGTTGTTTATCTAAGGATTCTTCCTTTGAAGTTGCTATGCAATTCAACTGCTTTCAAATTCAAGCTTCCAATTCGGTTTTTATATACGCTGGGTTAATTAAAATTAAAAAGTGATGCGGTTTTCAGTAGTCCTTTTGATATTCGCTTGTATGACCAAGAAGAGTGAAAAATCCATAAAGAGAAAATATATGAGCATAAAAAGATTTCCTTCCTGAGTTTTAAACATATTTAAAGTTAATAAATTCAGTGCTAGCTTTTGATTTTAGAGTGTTTTCCACATTTCCATATATGAATCAGTATATTTTTTAACATATACGTATTTCAATCATTCAGAGAAAACTAAAATTTGCAATTTCACAACAGTTTTATTTTAAATCGATTTTAGCACAAATATAATGCGTTCTAATCTACAGTGTATCTCGCTTTGACAAGCACCATTAGAATTTTAATACATGAATTAATATTCAGTCTTTTTTCTCTCGGTTGCGCCTCGTCTAATAAATAACAGCCGCCGCATTAAATCTTGTACTTTACTGCCTTGTTAAACAAATAACTATTATTATACTAAAATATTTGCTTTCTAACATTCTTCCTTCAGTTTAAAGCTACTGAAACTTATTAATCATAGTTTATTGTGAGCAATATTGACGCAACTAAATGATGGTGACAAGAAGTAAGCAGTATTCTGTATTATAGATCATATGGTTCACGGCACTATCACCATATGTCATCCTTGCCGTTATGGTGGTGAGAGCTGTCACTCTGGAAGGGGCGGGCAGCGGTCTGCTGTGCTACATAACTCCGCGTTGGGATGCGTTGTTGACCCCCGGTCCATGGATGGATGGAGCCTCCCAGATATTCTTCGCTTACAGTATCGGTTGTGGAGCTCTTCCCGCTATGGGATCCTACAACAAGTTCCACCACAATGCTTATAAGTAAGTTTAATTAGGTTGTTGAACGTTAATATTGTCTACATAATGTTGCTGGTAGTCTTGATTAGTAGTAGGGATCAAAGATTAAAGAAAGGGAAGATTTGTCGATTCAACAGAAGATTATTAAGATCTAAGGTACCAGAGGGACCAACAGAAGATGTTATGAAACCTGGAAATTTCAATTTTCAGATGTTTTAAGCATTTAGGTACATGATAGATGTGCAGAAAAAGTCAAATGAGATACTATGAGAGACGAACTCTTCAAATCATATCATTGTAATCCAAAAAAAAAAACATTTCAAAACCTACGAAATTACATTGGGGTTTCCTCAGGGTTCGAACTTGGGCCCACTACTATTCCTTCTATTCATTAACGACCTTGACGGTATGTAAAATTGGCTGTTGTATGTTGATGGCTTTAAAATATATACTTTAGGGTAGCCCAAAAAAACGAATATTTTTTTTCGTCTAATGTTAGTTTATCATGTTTTAAAAAAACAGCTCAAAAAAAATTTTTTTTGAGGTCGCTCAAGATTTTTAAAAATTTCCAAAATTGTAAAAAATTGATTTTATAAAAAAAATTTTTTTTCTCGTTCTTTTATCATTTTCTAGGTTGAAAAAAACCTTGATTCTGAAAATTTCAAATCGATATTTTAATTTCTAAAGGTTACTCATAATAGGCCCATTCAGTGATATTTAATTTTATACTTTTTCTTTCATTTTCTGATAGTATTTAACCACCTAATTATATCTAAAAAAAATTAGGTCAATAGGATTAATAATAAGTGATATATTTAATTCTGAATTTGTAAGACCCGTAAAAAGGTCAACACTGCGAGAGAACAGCTAATGACGTCACAATACCGGCCACTCGGCGATCAAGTCCCGAGCAGTCGGAGAGATGTGTAGATATTTGCTATACTTTTACCTATATTATATACCTATATTTTTAAGTGTATAAATAGAGAGTGTATAAGAGATATACATCAAATCTTGTTGAAATGCATTTTTCACAAAACATATTTATTATAAACATAGAATGTCTTGGAATATCTAAATACATTTTCGGATATTTCTCAATGACGTAAATGGTTCGCTTTTCTACATTTTCTGTTGCTTTCAATTTTTGTACAAATGTACCCAACGTACTAGACTCGGTACTTGTGGATGTATGCGACGACCTGTATGTGCGAGCAACTCAGAACCACCCTCGTTTTTCTTTGGTTGCCCGTCTAGGGGGTTGTAAAATATTATTATTTAAATAAATTGCTTATAGGTGCCTCTCGCAACGTATTTCGAAATTTTTGTGGACGGGAACGTTTAGATGGGGTAGATTTTTTTTTCGACATAAATTTGAAAATTCTGCTCTAAATGTTGAAATAATAATATTTACAAAACCCTAGACGGGCAACCAAAGAAAAACGAGAGTGGTTCTTAACTGCTTATAGGTCCCTCTCGCTGACGTATTTCGAATTTTTTGTGAACACGAACATTTAGATAGGGTAGAATTTTTTTCCGGCATAAAGTTGAAAATTGTGTTCTAAATGTTCAAATAATAATATTTTACAACCCCCTAGACGTGCAACCAAAGAAAAACGAAGGTGGTATTGAGTTGCATACCGTGGCTGGGGAAACCGTGGATAACATCACACAAACTTTTCATTTTTCGGTAATGAAATAAATATTTTATTCGGAGTCGATCCTGAGGTACTTTTGCAGCCTGGAACTATTCAATATTTGTACAATCCTCGGTTTCGACCCATTTAGACATAAAAACAATGATTAACGAAACTGCCAAGCGAACCACACACCGTATGTATTAACACAGAATGGGATGAGAGCGAGCGGAGTGTTCTGCTAGTCGCCCGTACCGGTATTATGACGTCAGCAATGGTTGCTCAACGTTTTTCCGCGCTCTGTTTTCATTAATTTATTTCACACATTTCTCGTTGAAACAAAAAATTGATTTTTGGCATACTAACTAATTAAAGGGTAAACTTTTGAAATATGCAATAAAAAAATTTTACTGAATGGGCCTATTATTTTAATTTTCAAAGTTGTGTACTTACCTGTTTTCGAGCGACCTCTAAAAATAAATATCAACGAACTAATATTTTTTTTTATTGAATTTGATGAATAAAAGAATAGAAATAAATCACGAGACACTTAAAAAATTTCTCGAGGCAAAATTTACTACCGCAGTGTGAGTATCAAATATTTATAATTTTTTTATTTTTTAAAATTTAAGTGTCTCGTTATTTATTTCTATTCTTTTGTTCATCAAATTCAATAAAAAAAATATTAGTTCGTTGGTATTTATTTTTTAGAGGTCGCTCAAACTTTGAAAATTAAAATAATTATGACCTTTAGTAATTAAAATATCGATTTGAAATTTTCAGATTCGAGATTTTTTTCGACCTAGAAAATGATAAAATAACGAGAAAAAAATTAAAAATAAATTCAATTTGTGACGATTTTGGAAATTTTTAAAAATCTTGAGCGACCTTTAAAAACATTTTTTGAGCTGAATTTGTGAGGGGGCTCTTAAAACATGATAGACTAACATATTTTCACAAGAGACACGAAAAAAAAAATCGTTTTTTTTTTGGTCCACCCTAATATACTTATATACTTTCAGTCAGCCAGGACCACAATCTTCAGAAAGAACCCAATAATCTTGTAACTTAACATAAATGTGAATAAGTGCAAAACAATCACTTATACCCGAAAACCTGCTGTTCTATACGATTACCATATTAATTCGCAAACAATCATAGTTCTATTAAAGTTTTGGTGGTTATTTTTAACAGCATATTAAGCCTTTCACAGTGTATTGATTGTATTGTTAAGGCAGCTTCGAAGGTTTTGGGATATATAATTAGAAATAGTAAATAACTCAAAGACTTAAAAAATCATTATATTGTCGTTTGATCCAAGCTTGAATTGTGCTCTTTAATTTGGGATCGATATTATACCTATTACATTAGAAAGTCTATTTAGGTTTTTTTTATTTAGATTTTTCTTTCGAAAACGGGGTTATTCACAATTTTGCATACGGCTTTTAATTTTTGTAAAATTGGTCGCTACATCAACAATTTCTATTTAATGATTCCATGAAATATATTAGTATAATTTAAAAAATCAGCGTCTAATGAGAATAAATAAACTTGCAACATGTGGTATAGTCTTTCCAAAGTCAGTTGAACATGTATAAAAACACCTAGCAATAAAATTTAACAAGTTTCATAGGCGTCCCTAAAATAGTTTTCTGCTAAAAGTAAAAAATTGTAATATTTTTTTTAATTATTTATGTCCTCAAACAATTTTATTATATTGATGCTAAATTTCGTGCCATGTTGTAATAGCATTAGTATACAAATTATCTCTCTTATTTCTCCCTCTCGCAATTGTAATATGAATGATTAATAGAAGGTGCCTATAATAAATTAATATACCTGAATCACACCAAATTCCGCGTTGCTGCACTGCACTGCGAGACCATTTGTCGATAACCGAATTTATGGCCAGGTCGCCCAGTGCGGCTGTGTTTGTGCCGCGTGACTGTCATTAATTTTAAAGGAAGATAAGGAGAAAATGAGTAGAATACGAATACGGGATTAAAAAAATTTTAAAATGCTTATTTATGCTGAAAAAAATATTTTCAAATCAATGTTGTAAACCTTTTTCCGGACCTACCCTGACCGCTGGCGGCATTGAGACATTCACGGCTCCCAAGTCAACTCGATATCGGCCTGAAGCGACATTGCCAAATTTAAACATTTTCCTAGTATTAGACATTATAAACAAACGGTTGATTGACTATTTTAGAATCTTATATTTTTTCTTGCTCACTTCAGCCAATAATAATTTAAAATGTTAAAATATGTAATGAGTGATATAAATTATTTTTTAAAAATATGCAATTAACATATTAAATTGCCATTGTTGATCGGCGAGGACCTCGATTCATGACCATGCTTTGCCAAACAAAAACAGTTTCCTCGTAACATTCTCCAGACTTTTGCTTGGGGATGTCCCCAATCGCCTTGAAATGGTTCTTGTCGAAATAATAGGAGGCTTATAAACTAAATCTAAAACAGCTTCTATCACATTCAAGTCATTTTACGGATGCCCTAAAAGTTCTCGTCGCAGAATTGGAGGCCAGGTATCGTGAAGATGTTTAAAAACTCGCACGGAGGTTCCCGGATTGGGAGTATGTTGTCTGTGAAGAAAACGCCTGCGATATTCTGCTGCAGCGGCATTTCGTAAATATTCTCCATATAAAACCACCATTTCCGCGTATTCAAAATTCGCAAAATTAGCTATTATGACCGACACGCGAAACAATCCGTAATAAACTTAGGGTTACATTGCAGTCTGCATACTTTTCATATCATATAGGGAACTGGTGTAACCACAATGGATTGAATTTTAATATTGATAAGTGTAGCTTCCATAGAAAACGGCGTCCTATTTTGTTCGATTTTAGTATTGATGGTACAATTTTGGAAAGGCTTGATAATGTTTGTCCACATTGATAGGGTGGAGTCCGTTCAAAGGCGGTTTTTAAAGTTTCTAGTATACAGGGTGTTTTTGAATGGAGTTACATAAATGATACCAGTGAATCTACATTTCAAAAGAACACGATCTGCAAAAAATCGCCTTAGTAAAATGTTCACCCCTGAAGAGATATGGGCCATCAAAGTTTCCAAAAAAATTATGAAAATTGGCTGTAATTTGAAAACCGAACGAGGTACAAATAACAAATTTTTTACAGGTTGCTTACTAATATAGATGCGAGTTTTCAACTATTTTTCCATAATTTTAACCCCTCGAAAGGGGTTGAAATAACCACCCCTCAAGTCATTTTCTGCCATAACTTTTATATTTCGTAAAAACTCGATATCCAAAAATACGCATTAGATAAACTGGTTCTTTTAGAAACTTTTACCTCTCTAGCAATTTTCCTTTAAAACTTTTCGTTTATTAATAAAAAAATAAAATGTATTACCATTCACCCCTCAACGTATATGATTGCAATCAATCAAAGAAAAACTAAGTGTGCTGCTGTCATGCCAGTTGTCACAATTAACTCTTCTGTAAGTTGTCACTGTTATCAGCTAAATACTTTTTGTGTGTAAATTAACAAGAATTATGCCAAATTTTACTAATGATGAATATATCCGAAGACCCACTGTTCGTACTATTTATCTTGAGGATGCAGTACTTGAAGAGTTTGACGAAAATCGTCAGACTAGTACGAGAAAAACAGCAATGCACTTAAATGTGTCCCATAGTGTTGTTTGGAATATTGTCCAAGATAATTTATTATATCCTTTTCACCATTTATGTGGTTCTGTGGCAACACTTTTCGATTTTTTGTCTTTATTACGCCTGCGCCTTCCGAGTACGTGGTTAAAATTAACGACATTATGACTGAATCGCCCTGTATAGTAAATGTTACATGCGTATACAAATTATAATTCACAAATTAGAATGAATATAATTCATAAATCAGCATAACCACATTTATTATTTGTGCTGTTATTCTTGACACTGGGTATCTTAGAACCTATAATTCCGTAACGATAACGTATTCAACGCCCTCGAGGGCTATAGGGCTTATGGTAGCTTTCGCCAGTACACATATTGAATTTTGTCACTGGGCTTTACGCGTCAAAGGATTTATTAGGGGTCAGCCAGGATTATGCAAAGCGTATGGGACATCTAAATTTCAAATTTACTTAAAACTTTCCGTCAACAGATTTTAACATACGTTATGTTTTGCTAAACCGTTATCAGCAACAGCGTAAAATATGTACTTTTACTTTTATGTTATGCATGAAAGTCGTGAAAAATAAACGTCAACAGAACCTTGCTATAATTTTCTCCAGTCGTTTCAGTCGATCCAGTTCTTTGTGAAAATGAAACACCGTTGTAGATGCACTGTTTAATTAGTTAAGGACCACAAAACCTAACCTGGGAATGTATGAAAGCATGCATAATGCCCTCGTAGAATCACGGAACTAATTTGGCTGGCTTCCTGAGACCCTCCTGTGGTTATTACGTATTAAATATAGCCGCTTAATTATTAAGGATCAAACGGAAATAGTGGAGCAGCTATAGTGCTGACGTAAATTGCATAAAACCGGACGGACCGTTGAGATTCGTCTGCATTAAATCCACTGTTTAATGTTTCATTGCATTCCACAACCGATTAAAATAAATAGATATATTCAATTGGAGAGTAAATTTATTATTCCTTACCTTAAAAGTTTTGAAGTAAAGAGAACAAGAACTTTCAGACAGATCGATTTTTGACGTCGGCGTCCTGTACAACGTATCGTAGACATACCTTCTTCCATATCTCGAAAATGATACGCATATATTTGTTCTGCAGGTGCAGCATTTTGTCTACATTCAGCGTATATTAGAAGCATATCCATCAATTTACGATTACTGCAATTGTGTGGCATTGCAGTAAAACTAATCACTAACAACAATAATACTTAGATACTATCAATTTACCTGCCCTAGACATATAAACTAGGCGGTATCTGTTTTGGTTTGGGTGAATCGTATCTCCACGGAGATTTTTGGCTTTTTGGCTTTCAAATATCACTAGAAATGAAAATTTTTTTATGCGCATTAAAAAAAACGTGAGCATAACTTTTGGCGGCACAATATGTTTAAAAAAATCGAAAAATATTTTTCTTCCTATTTAATTATGTATCTTTTCAAGAGTTGATTTTAGGCGAAAATGGAAGAGGCAAAAAATGTTTGTAAATAATTTTTTTACAAAATATGACTAGTTACAAATCGAATAAATCATGATTATTATTATAAAATTCTAATTGTTTATAAGTACAAAAATTCGACCAATGTTTAAACAAGCACCAGAGCTCTCCTAATTGATGGATTCGAATTTTTCAAAAAACGTTTGAAAGCCTGAGAGCCCTTCTATATGTGATTAAAATTTCAAGTATCTAGGTGCTCTGGTTTTTGTTGTGCACAATATTGAAAATTTACAAATCTTTTTTCAAAATTTGGATTGCTAAATTATTATGCAAAATCTATCAAACCGATTTTGATGAAATTTGGTGTGATGATTCTACATAACATGAAGTTTTCTTGAGCCAAATATGAAGGTCCTATACCCAATTTAAAGACCCCAAAAAAAATCCCTAAAAATTATTGTTTTTTAACCCCATTTTTGGCGATTTTTTCGATTTTTACAATAATAATCATGATTCATTCTATTTGTAACTAGTTATATTTTGTAGAAAAAATAATTACAAACATTTTTTTACTTTTCCATTTTCGCCTGAAATCAACTCGTGAAAAGATACATAATTAAATAGGAAGAAAAATATGACATTTTTCGAATTTTTTAAAAATATTATGCCGCCAAAAGTTAAGCCCACGTTTTTTTTATGCGCATAGAAAAATTTTAATTTCTAGTGATGTTTGAAAGCCAAAAAGCCAAAAATCTTCGTGGATATACGATTCACCCAAATATGGACTTTTTGAAACAGATACCGTCTGGACTAATATCAGTCATTAAAACGTCGTCTACGAGCGCAAAGAAAATTCCGTTTAGGCATTACTTCAATTTTAAAGACATGAAATTCAGACATTCTTGTTAAAATTAGGCTCTGTTTCGAAATCCGCCATCGTCTTTTTCCTTAAGGAAACATCGAAGACCCCCGAAAATTGTCATTTGGTATTACTGCTGCTCTCGTGTTTTGGTTGTGTGGGTTTGTATTAAGATATAATAAGCTAAAGAGATGAGACAGTGGTTATTATTCTGAGCCGTAAGGCAGATTTTCTCTCATACGTACCTCCTTGAAGTTTAGGGTTACATTATGCCGTGAAATTAATTTAGTATTCTAATAGTTTCAGATAGGCTTATACTATATCTATACAATGTAGGCGAACACTCAGAAAATCACTCATGTTTAACGATATTTGTACAAGGTGTCAAAAATATGTATATGTATTTACTTAACTAGAATGAAATTACAATAAATGTTCAAACCGATGACATTCAGCAATGATACAAAGAGAAAGTCGGGCAGTAAATTCTTCTCAAACGTTCTCTAGAACTTCAAAGGTTATTTGTGCAATTTCCGTTCTGATCCGCTCTTTTAACTCTTTTAAACTATTTGGTCGACTTTGATAAACTTTGGTCTTCAAGTATCCCCATAAAAAGAAGTCTAGAGGAGTCAGATCTGGAGACCTTAGTGCCCATTTGATCGATCCTCTCCTCCCTATCCGCCTACCACGGAAAACGTTATTTCAGTAAGTTCCTGTTTGTATTTAAAAAAGTCGTCGATTATGTCATTACGTCAACACTGGTAACGTAATAACTCTTAAATGTATATTCTAAATTAAATTTTTTTTTCAAAAGTCAATTTTTGAAATAATGACTTTATTCCATACGTTTGCATCATACTGTATATCTATATGAACAATTATGTAATTATTCTACAAGAAGGTAGTGACAGCAGTGATAGTGAACTTCATAGTGAAAATTCAGATAAAGTGACGTTTCTGGTATTCTGCCATTGTATTTTTTTAAATTGCAATTTAATATTTTCTATAATTGTTACACTACATAAAATATCCTTTACAAGTATGTAATCTTTAGTCCTTTGCTATTTGGATAAATCAATATACAGGGTCCGGAAACTAAACCGACAAACGAATATAGCAAATTCTAGGCATGATCGCATATCGTTTTGACATACACCGCCTTAAGCAAAAATGCTTCTTAAAGCAAGCGGGGCTCTTTGAAGATGGCCCTTTAACATTGTTTTTTTAATTGTTCAGATTGCTGTTTATTTAGAACCACCAAACTTAGGTTATGTGTTAACTCTTATACGGACAGACTTTTAATGTGAAAATGATCCTTTAATTGTAACCATAGGCGTCACGTTTGGGAGGGTCAGCTGACATGTTTAACTATATTTTTTTATCTTCGACTTTTTGGTAGTTTTAATATCAAAATCGAAAACTTCAGAGCATTCTAGATTAAAGAAGTACCCTTGTCTTGAGTGTTTTTTGTGTTTTTTTGCACGATAATTACAAAATTACAAATTCTTTGCTAATATTTAGTAGTTGGCTTTGGAAAACCAATACACTTACCATCTATGCAAATGCGAAACTAGCATAAGTCTACTGTACAACTTACAACATTATTCCTCGTTTCAGAGACGCCGTAATAACCTGTGTCGTCAACACCTTGACGTCTCTCTTCGCGGGGGTCGTGACCTTCGCCATATTGGGCCACCTGGCTTTGAAGCAGAACGTGGACGTTAGCGATGTCGTTAACAGTGGGCCAGGACTAGTATTCCTGACGTATCCCGAAGTTGTTTTAAAACTGCCAGGATCGCCGTTCTGGGCGGCCACCTTTTTTATAATGCTCGTGGTAAGAATTTTAAAATAAGGCGCGCTTAGCGAAAATCCGGAGGATTGTGATGTCCATTTCAGCAGTTTTCGTGATCAAAGGAAGAAGTAATCTCTTTGAGAGAAATTATGTTTCCTCTTACTTGTAGATAGAAATAGATCATGTCACAATAACGTTTATAAAAAATGATCCAACATTTCTGTTAACTATTGTCAATTGTATATTTTTATTTGCAGATTAATAAATTTATTGTTAGGTCACAAAATTCACAAAAGATCTTTTAAGAACTACAAGTTTGCAAAATACGTTCTACTTCGTGTTTTGGTAAAACCTTTAGACAGGGCATTTACAAACATGAACTGGATTTTTTAATGATTAATAAGTCATAAGAATCAAAATTATTAAATCTTATTGAGAACCTCTGGAATTGTTGTGGCCGCAGATAGCCCGCCGTCCGCTTTTCCGTCCAGTTTCTTTGTAAAACCAGAGAAGTTGCTCCAATTTAAAGTTAATCAGGTTAAGTAAACCAGTTTTACTTTAGTTTTCATTACAGAAACGTTTGTCTTTTATTGTTTAAGTTTCAAGTAAAATTATTAGTGAAAAATTACACAGCCCCACAAAAAAAAGTGGCAGGTCCGAAAGACAAGACCATGGTATCCATATGGTTTTGGGGTCGCTGAATCCGAATCCGGTGTCCGTTTGACACGATTAGCTCTGGTTTAAGGTCAGTTCAAGGTCAAATGTAGAAAATCAATTGTCAACAAACTAAACCTATGTATCTATACGTTTTTGGAACTGAACTTAAATCAGATCTGATCGAGTCAAACGAACACCGGATTCGGATTCGGCGACCCCAAAAACGGATAGATACATAGGTTTAGTTTGTTGACAATTGAATTTCTACATTTGACCTTGAACTGACCTTAAACTGGAGCTAATCGTGTCAAATGGACACCGAATTCGGATTCAGCTACCCCAAAACCATATGAATACCATGGTCTTGTCTTTCGGACCTGCCACTTTTGTTTTGTGGGGCTGTGTAATATTGGTAGTCATATATTTTTCTGGATCCTTACTTTAAATTGTGATCTTTTTGTGAAGAGTCTCTCTGGGGAGTCTGTCTGTCTATATATGTTAATAAGTGCGAATAAATATACTGAAATGGTCCATCAATACAGTAACAATAAACTCCTGTAAACACAGCCAATCAAGGGATGGAGCCAGAGGTTCAAAAAATGTTTCCTGGTATTATTGTGATTAAAAATAGATAGAATGGTACACAAGTAAACATATTTTAAAAAACGGCGGAAAAATATGTCTTATGAAAAGAAATAAATTGGCTGGTAAATCAGTATTATGTTTAGCCTTTATCAATCTTATACCATTTAATTTAGCTATAGCCTCTTACGATACCAAAAAACTACGCTCCTAACATTAACCGTAAAATCCCGCTTGTAACATTTCGTTTTCATATTAAAATCCTCTCATCCTGATATTCTTTCCCGAGTGAATATATTTAAGCTGGAAGGTTGTCTCATCCGCTATAAAATTTTTACTTCACCTTTGAATGGAAAGGTAATGTTGCATAAAACAAAGGCAGACTGGAACGGAAAATAGAATTTTCTAATATAATTTTTATAGGGGTCGCGTATAAAAAATGTGATTCTGGTTTATATCTTTGGCGATAAAGAGTCCTGTTTATAACCTTAGGTAATAAATTATTAAGGGACGTCTGGGTGTGGATGAAGGCGTATTATTTTAGTGTTGGATTGATTATGATTATCGAGATTATGTCTTTAACAGAAACTGCGCAAATCAACATGAAAAAAGGCTTATAGAAAGTTATTGTATCCGTCGTGTTGTTTGAAAAATTGTCACAAATGAAATGATTAATGACCGTAACAGTGGGGTTTCTATATAGGGTCATTTGGTCAATGACCTCCCACGTAAATATAAGATAATAAGGACAAAATCAATGTTGTACTAGAAATTTGTATTTTTAATGTACCTATAAAGTTTACCCTTATTATACAGGGTGTCCAAATACGACAAAAGATAACCTCAAATTCTTTGGATGTTTTTATGTCGATTTGAGCAAAATCATTTTATACAAAAATGCTTCCTAGGAGCCTTTTGAATATGGCACCTTACAATCAATTTTTTTCAAATATTTTCAAAACGCCTTTAATAAAATTGAAAAAAAATTACACTCATTAATTTTTAGATGCTCAATTGACTCGTGTAAATGTCAATTTTTAATTCGACGAACATCTTCAAATAATTATATTTTATCTTCGACATTTTGATACTTGTTTATTATCGCTATGATGAACCGTTTTAGAAAATAAAAACCGCTTGAACATTTCGTGTTGCATTGCAATAAAAGTTGGTTTTGGAGGTCTAGCAAAAAAATATGATTTTTATGTTAAATCAACCTTTCCTTTTTTGAAATTATAAGTTTTCTTTTTCCATGAACCTCCACATACGTATTTTTTTACAATTTAATAAAGCTTTCACAAATGGTTAGACAACACCTGTTAGCTACAATTTACATTTTTGTATTTGTGGTAGAAAGTGATAGGGTGTTCCCTATTACACACGCCAAACTTTAAATGAAAAATATCACGTTCATTTAGGTACCTACCTCTCAAAATGTTTGATGTAGATTGATACAAGGATAATTAATTATGGGTAAAAATTTGATATATTGATATACAAATTTGTTGAGAAGTAACGAAGATGCTGGGGGATACTAGCACTAGGAAATACATAAAATTGGATTATGTATTTAATTTTTTGAAAATATTCGTTCCCCCCAGAAAAAAATATACTTATAGGAATATTTTGTTAGAAATATAATATTAAATACAATATAGCCATCAGAAGATAAAAAAATCATTGGTACCGTAATTTTAAATGTTAGAGGGTTATTCTTCAAAAAATTCCGAAGGGTTCAGAAAATGTTTGTATATAATTTCTAACAGAAACAACGTATAAAGTGTTTTTTTTTCTGGAATTTTGGAGCTGTTTCGGATTTATTCAACCATGTCGAAGGCTTATATTACATTTAAAAGAATAATTACTCGTAAATCGATAGCTTTTTGCATGCATTTATACAGTTTCTAAAATATTCTCAGTGGCGTCGAAATTATGGAGCTTTTAGTGACGGTATCTCCTAGCATCTCCGCTACTGGTTGATAGATTCGTATATCAACTCAGTAATTAATTGATATATATTTTAAGAAATGTTTGATTTGAATGTTATAAGTTAATGAATACGAGCTGTCAAATAGCATTGTTTAATATCCGAAAATGCATTTGAGCCTCCGATTGAACTTTTTTCGAAATTTTCATTGTTAGACAGTCATTTGACAGTCTAAAATTAAAATAGTTATTTATGTATCAAAGGAGATACAGGGTTGATTATGTCCTCAAGCGACAGGTTGAGACAGGTTGCGACAGGTTACGACAGGTTGCGACAAGTCGCCTAAGGCGTAATCATTCTAGTATCTCCTGTGGTGCATACAACGTTTTATTTTTTACTTAGACATCTGATTTTATATTAATCTTAAATTTAATAATTAAGTGTAAATGGGAATCAAACAGTTTTTCAGTACAATATAAACGATGAATCTATAACACCCGCAATTGTCGATTTTGATAGTTTTATGTTTGATTCTGAGGAGATATATTGAAAAGGCAGAATCGATAATATTCCAGCAATAGTTGCTGCTAGAGCCAATAAGGCCAATGAAGAAAAGACATGGAAAATGGAAGAATTATACTGTAGCATCAGGATATGTAGAAGATAGCATAACGTCCAATAATAAAATATCTCGTTTAATAGCATTAGTGCAAAGAATTTGTAATGACAATTTTTCTGATTGATTGTGAAGGAGAATAAACAACATTTATTCGATGGCAGAGAAAATTTGAGTAGTTTTTCTGGTGTTACTGTTAAAGGTTCCTTCTCAAATTGTACTTTCGTTTTTAAAGACGGTTGTAAATGATTTTTGTTATTAATTTAAAGCAAAGTATTGTTATATATCAAATAGTAATGTTAATAAACTTTGTACTTTGTACTTTCATTTGTCTGCTTCATTTATACATAGCACTTTTATTATTCAACCCTTGCAGAAAAGAAGGGTACAAAAAGGGTCAAAATGTGTGCCATAATATTTAGGTTAAAAATAAATAAATGTTTAATTTCTCGTCAAACATTACCAATATGTTTTTCAATTTTCAAGATATACTTTGCAGTTACCTAGTCGCTAAGCCTGTATCAGATGCGGTTGAAGTAAAATCTACAATGTTAAATACACGTAGTATAAAATCCATTCACGTTCTGTTCATTGTTTGTAGATCCTGGGAATCGACAGTGAATTTTGTTTGGTGGAAGCGTTCATAACGGGGCTGCTAGACAACTGGTCCCAACATTTACGCCCGTACAGAAACACCTTCACCTTTGTCGTCTGCGTGGTAATGTTCCTGCTGGGTATTCCAATGGTCACACATGTAAGTCTTTGTTAGGTTATTTCGATTGTCTTTAGCATAAGTATACTTTCCCAACAAAACACTACCCTATGTACTTATTTACTCGTATATTTGTGCTAGTTAAAAATTAAATAAATATATCAGGCTCTATTTAATCCATTAAAGCTTAAATAAATATTTACACTTGCTCTCTAATAATCCAAACAATATTTATTTTCTAGAGTTATTTCATACTGTAATGGAAGCTTGTGGGTAAATATATTTTCCTCAGACAGACATATTAATAGATTAAACCGACTTGTGTTATCTTTGTAATTAAATTACGTCCAGCTCTGCCGCTGTGAGGGCCCCGTAGAGGACGAAGTTTTATCTGTACAAATAGCTAGGCTGTTCCATATAAAATAATGCTCACGTGTGAATAGCGCCGAGGTAGGAACTACGATACACATAAATCATGTGCCGTAATGCACTGGGGATTTCAATCTCTGACGAAAAGTGGGACGTTGAAGGCAGTTTTAAGTATTAGAGAATTCACTTCGTTCCCGGGACGAATGGAACGAGAAAGATTCTTCCGTTTTAGAACAACATAATCTTTTTCACGCAGTTGTTACTTAAGGAGGTATATCGGGGTCCGAGGGGAGTGAGGATCGCAGGGGGGTCCTATGCTTTTCTTATGGGACTAAAGCCCGCTGCCAATTTGAAAAAAATAAATTCTATTGAAATTATTTGCGATAAATATTATCTATATAGCAAAGAAATATACTCATATGCACATAGCATACATATTGACTAATTAACAACATAAAAATATCATATTTAAGTAGTTTTAAATTACATTTAATGAACGCATGAAGACTATGTAGATGTGGCAACAGCGCTAATAATTGACTAGCAGTTGTACACACTGCGAACCTACAGACCTCGGACATAGGAGATATTGCGCGTCAAATTCGGGTAAAGATGCGTACGCGTTCAAAAATGTATTGTGTGTAAACTATGTAGAATATATAAATACATATATCGTATTATCCTCGCGCAGATTTGTATCCTTTATTTAAAATCCGTAAATCATGTGAACTGGTAAAACAACGAGAATTATGTTAATTTAGTTCTAAAGAAATGAAATGACACTCGCGCCCATCTCCCGTCAAGTCAAAGAAAATGTTGGATGCAATTTTGAAGGTTCTGTGATAGAAATTACGTTATTACTAATGTTATAAAAGTTTTGCAGCTATAACTAATTTTTTAGATATAAAATTTGCTGAGAAATATTTATGTTCCTTCCTTATTCCATATAAATGCTTTTATCTCAAGTAGATATTACTAATTGTATTAATCAAGTAAAGAAAACTTGTATGTAACCCTAAATAATGCTGGGTAATGAGTACGATGTTTTTATAAACCATTAAATATATTAAAAGGATTTATCAACTGTATTTCTTATTCCAATAAATAGAGGGTAGCCCATCGAAAACGTACCGCAAGGCATTACAGGGTAGTAATGAATTTTTCGGCAAAATCCAAAAACAGGTAAAGTTTGCTTCTGAGGGGGACAACTTTTGGCGCAAAAAGCATAGCAAAATCTTCAACCCCCTAAGTGGGGGTGCCATCCCCCAAATTTTTTTAAATGGGAATGGGGGTCAAGTGGGGGGTCATTAGAAAGGGCTTTTAATTCTCTATACATCGATTCTTACTTTTTGAAAATCGATCCATTATTTTAGAAAATATGCAGCTTTGAATATACGAACAATATTTTTGACGAGAAATGCGAAAATCGATTTAATTTTACTTCAAAACTTACGGTATTAGTCAAGTAAATGCTGAAAATGTTGTCCGCCAACTTGCATACAATGATACAGGTTGTCTTCAAACCGTTGTCGAACATTCTGGAGCACTTGCGGTGTTACTTCGCGACATACATTAATGATTCGTCCTCGCAGATCTTCCAAGGTATCAGGTGGAGTGCTGTAAACTTTGCTTTTAATGTGCCCCCAGAGAAAGAAATCTAAAGGATTTAAGTCGGGTGACCGAGGGGGCCACTCAATTGCACCTCTTCGTCCTATCCAGCGTCCTGGAAACGTCTCATTTAGGTAATTGCGCACATTG